CGCGAGAGAGTTTGAAACTCCGCCGATAGCGGAGAAAACGATCCGTTTTGAAGGAATTATCAAATTAATCGTACGTACGTACATGGTACGCGATCTTTTGGCAAACGTCTTAAGATTCAGCAAGCAAAATATTATTCCCTTTATCTTATCGTCTTAGGTCTACGTATTATCGCATTTGAAAGTTCGCTCCGTACACTCGTGCGGATATTGACGACTCTGATTATTAGTTGAATGAATATTGCACTCGTCTTGAAAGAATCTCGGACGGGCATTTGACTTTCAAGAATAAACGGCGACGAAGTACTTGGCTAGAGATCTGTAAAATTCGGTGGACAACGAACGTTCCGTATTCCAATGATCGTGATAAAAGCCTGTACGTGTAACCGTGTGATATTATCGTTTGATTTATACAGAGGTAGAAAAGGACGCGACTCGACAGTAAGTTGAGAGTTTCGTTCCCGATCCGCAAGATCTGCGCTCGAAACGATTTCGTTTACTCCGGATGGGATGTTACTTACCCGCAGCAAACGGACGGCCTAATTTCTCCTGCGAGAGACGTTTCCCCCGGGAAGGGAAATAAATTCGAACGTACCTTGTGCGAGTAACGAGAAACACGACGAATGCGGCTACACGATGTCGGCACACTCCATTAAGAGGCACTGCACTGCACTTCGAGCGAGACGTGAAGCGCGCTTTCCATGTCCGGACGTGACTAGAGAAGCCCGTCAAAGCTTAGCGTTTGAAGAGAAAAAGCGACGAGCATGAAAAGATGAAAAGATCACGTATCGCGCTGTAAAATGGGACGGCAAAAAGCAACGGTAATTATTTAAGAGAATAGGCCACGACGTGGTGGTGACCGGCACGTTAACGCGTCCACTCGGGGAGCTTCGGTTCGAATCGGGTGTGCCAGGTGGAAGCCAACTGAAAGAGGTGGAAAAACTACCTTCGGCTAAACCACGATCGGCTTCGGCTACGCGATATCCCACCAATCGCCATACGTTACCAATCACTTTACTCGCAGTATTTACCCGAACACTGTCTCCCCGACAGCTCTTTAATCCCTTCGCTTTCGCTTCAAGAGATCTTTGAATTTTCCTCGATCCTTGCTTTATCTCGATCTCATCGTGACGTCATTCGCTATAATGTACACTGCTTGTGTACCCGCAACCTGTTGCGTTGCGATTTGATGTTCCCTCTCCCCCTTTGGTGTTCTCTCCTCGTGGTCTCATTCGATTTCCATCGTTGTTTCTCCTTTACCGACCGAGAAGCTCGCCTTCACTCGCGGCCGCGGATGGCGCCAAAATCGATTCGAATGAATCACGACGAACCAAACGTGCGTGAATTCCAATGAATTACTTTTTTAAATATGTTTTTCATTGATTCGTAGGTTCAGATCGTATCCGTCAGATACATGGCGCAGGGACAAACGAATCGTTTACATTGAAAATATATTTTCATTTTATATGAACGTTTATACATACATAAAATGTAACTTCTGTAATTTTTAACACATTAATATGCAAAGTATCGAGAATTTCTGCAACAATAACAGCATCGGCGATTTTATACAGGTGGCAAATTAACAATTTTATTCTTCGATTTCAACGATTTCTAATTTTCATGAATATTGCAGCAATCAATTCTGTTCTGAAAATTATAATAAAGTACCGTGCTATGTTGTTATTGAACTGTCGTTTATTTTAACAGCAACGGCAAATTCGGTTCCTGAGCATGCGTTTGAAATTATGATTTTAGTCGCCTTACGAATCCGTAGCTATGTGTAATAATGCATAAAGAATACTGCGAATTATTTTTTTAAAATTAAGAACCTATTATTACTCGATGTAACGAAGCAACGGTAGATCCTATAATTACGTTTGGAGTATTGCTTCTTAATAAATATACATATATATATTTAAAATGATCGTTTATGAGCATCATAGTAGTGCTGATAGCAAAGTATATTTCATGCGTAACATATGAAACCTAATTCTCGAATATACGTTTAACTTTTTATAAAATATTGTTATATAACATGATTTTAGAAGTATGTATATGCGACAATGTTACATCAAAGAAAAAACATATTTGATGTGATTCATTTGTTCAAATTGCATTCGATTACGATTGATCGATTTTTATCCTGTTTCTACAATAGATATAATTTCTCCTTCCTTAAATAGCTTTTTTTATCACTTTTGTTACAGTAAAGAAAGTAACATTACACTAATCCAATGATAAAAATTGTAGGTGCATTTAGGTACGAGATATGCATCCTATTATTAAATAAAATTATTGGATAATTACAAATGCGAATGTTGTTGAATAGATTAAATAACCTATAAATATTTCTTTTTGAAGAAATTGATACTGGAATAAGAAACTGAGTTTTCACTCTAATTATACATATTATATGATTATTATTTTTACATAACTTGTACCTAGCTCAAATGTTTTGAAAAGCAGATTGAGCATCCAGAGATAAATCAGGTTAAAGTACCTTTTACATTATAAATCTTTTTATAATATAAATAATTAAAAATGCAAAAAAAAAGACTAGGAGCAATATTGACAGTTATCGACAATGTTTTGATAAATTCCTATCATTTAAATAAATAGGCAGTTTAGGGCAATTCTCCAAAATTGTCGTACTTTCATATTAAAAATTATTTATAATGATAAAGTAATTTCATACTGTATATATAATATACTGTATATATAATAAAAAATTAATACCGATTGAAAAATTAAATTTTCCGATTTAACATCTAAGTTGCCGATCAAATAAAAATGTAATTTAATTTAGTTTTATATTCTAAAATATAAAATTTTTTATAGCATCAGGTTATTCAATGTATTTTTTAATAACTATATTTTTTTCACAACAAAAATAATTTATTTATAATTACTGTGTTAAACGTGTAATGAAGCATTAAAATTATCTTTTGTAATGATTAAGAATCCAAATAATAATTTATTGATTCATACTTTGGTCGTTTGTAAATATGATTGCACTAAATAAGAAAGATTAAAAAATATACTATTTTCTATCATTTGCTGAATAAGTTATCGAGTTACTTTTTCTCTGCTGGAAGTGACATACATATATGTTTTCTTTTTCCAATATTATAGATATCTTATTTTGGTGTTGTAGAATATTTCACGAATCTAAAATTTTCTTATGTAAAAAGCAAATCGTAATATATAAAAACCTAATTGCTTGTATAGTCAAATAAACGGATTTTAAAATGATTTTATAGTCGTAAAAATAGGCTCTGGATATTATACTTTTACATCGAAATATGACAGTATTTTTCTTTTATATCTTACGATTTGATTAGTTTCGTTATTTGTTAATATATCTGGAAGTTCACTGAAGAAGTGCAGAAATATCCCAAATCTTAATGAGACGATCTTGACCAATAGTTAATAATCTTCGTCTAGAAGCATCCAGATCCATTCCAACGACGTTATGCTTTGCGTCATGGAATGATGCTAGAGACGTTTGGCTGTACGATAAATACATAACACAAATGAAATAAATCTAATAAAAGCTACGTCTTATCTTATTCTCTTTACTTACTTTGCAGCTTTAAGTTGAATATGACACTGATCGCACACTCTAACTTCAAATTCAAAACCCATTGCTGGTATTGGTATTCGTTGGGATGTGCATCGTGCGCATAATGCACGGCCACAATGACGGCAATGATGCTGTCTCAAACCTAGTTGTCGTTGATCCATCATTGCTTTAATATTCCAAAAGAATGGTCTTCCACAGGCCTAAATTCATTGTAATATTTATATAAATGTAATACAATATATCTTTTATAAAAAGTCATAATAAATATAATGTTAGTGATAATATTAAATTGTGGAATCAAATTAGTTATAATTTTACAATTGCGTACCTGGCACGTATCTGATTCTACCCAAGCTGCAGTTTCTTTTCTGTTAGCACCCATGTCCCAGCATACTATTACACCATCTTCTCCTCCAGATAATAATATACGTTCTGCGCTTGCATAGCACAGCGCAGTTACTTTGTTGCTGTAAAACCACATGTATAAAACATGTGATGTGAAAACTAATTTGAGAAAACTTTCATGATAGTCTAAGCAGCTTACTGATGTCCTTGAAGTTCATACGCTGTACCTTGCCGACCTCCAATGTCCCATACTATTATACTTTGATCAAAACTTCCAGAAAACAAAAGTTGCTTTTCAGAATCCCAAGCTAATGTATGAATGCTTCCTGTATGTGCTTTTAAAGTGGTGATTAGTGTAACGCCGTTAGTATCTAATTTCAACATTGCTATTTGTCCAGAATAATCACCAACAAAAGCATGTTTTGATTGTGCGTCAAATCTGAATAAGTTAAGGAGATGTATGTAATTTTAAATAAAATCTTTTTACGCGAAATATACAAGTCTGAAAACCTATTAGAAATTATTTCTTGTAAAAAGGATACTGTAGAGCAGTATACCATGCATCTGTCTGATAAGATCCCAATTTTTGCCCTGTTTCTGAACAATGTAATTGAAATACCTTATCTCGACCAATGCTTAAAACCCATTCACAATTTGGTGCAAATATAACACCTGTAACTCTTGCTTGATGCGCAGCATATTCACGCATGGCAGTCATTTGATTATAATCTTGCTCCAAAATGAATTCCTGTAAAGTAATGAAAATAGATAAAGAAAATATTATTTCTTCTTTAGAGAAACCTATTTCAATACATACATTTATAGTTCCATTTTCCAAACCAACAAATAATTGTCTAGTTTGTACACAATAGTGCATCGATGTTGCACCAGCAGCCATGTATTGACAGACACTTGGCCAATATTGGCCAGAATCCCGCTTCAACCACACTCTAACAGTCCTGTAAAAAACAGTTTCTTATAAGTATGAAACGCTGAATTTTCAGTGTACCGATTAGTCTAAAAATTTTTAAATACCATAGTCTAAAAATTTTTATTATACCAAGTAATCTAAAAATTCAATTTTATTACTGTAACGAGAATATAATACTTATAATACTACCTGTCATCGCAAACACTAATTACACCATCTTCCCGCGGTATAATGATAGCCGCATTAACATCGTCATTGCATCCTTCTAATTTCGATAAAAGTATAGGTTTTCGGCTTGTGCTAAATTTATCATGATTTACTCCCGGTGCGGGTTTTATCTCTGCTGCCATTTCAATCTTTAAAACGTAATATTTGAAGCAGACTTGTCATTTGACAGTTGTCAGACTTCAATATTAATCAGAGTTTATATACTTTATGAAGACGGAAAGTCGGATTTTTTAAGAGATTGTGGAGAACCTATCGGCGCTATTCGTGTTAGTCCTCGCGAATTTTTCTCTCCTGCCTTTTCGAGTTCCTCTTTATCGACTGTTAGAACTTTCACAAAAGTTTATATTCTGGTGCATTAATAAAAATGTATGCACTCATGTTAAGTAAACAAAAAATGATGATCAATTGATCCCACGAATAGCACCATTATCATTGACTAAGTACAGAATAGATATGACATCACATGGGACTTCGGATTTTATATCATAAAATATCGACATCGAAAAGAATCATAATGTTTCTTACGCCCTCTGTGATTTATTGAAAACGTAAGAAGTGTATTTAATTTAATTATTGAAACAATAAGCTATGCAAAGATCCTTATTCATTTAATTCTCAAAGAAAGTGATGCTAACAGTGATAGACTACAACTTGTTATTGTTCAGCATATTCGACTTAAATCTACACATATTACTATTGTTTTATGAGATAATTTTCATTTTCTATCAACAATAAAAAAACTTTAAAAATTGTTTCATAAATGACATGTATGCAGTTGTAACTGCAATAGAAAAAGATAGTTTTAAAAGTGAATAGGATACGTCTAAATATGTATAAATGATTAAATAAATTTTTAAGATCTTGTTTTTTATTTGTAATAATACAAGAAACTAGACATTATTCTAAGGTGTTCCGTTCTATTGACAAGAATTTTTATTCAAGCATTTTGTACATCTTGATCTTATTTGTTTATGGTTGTATGTTGTATGTATGTGAGAGATGGAACATTTCAAAAAAAATGATCATAATTGAAAATAGATATGAAATAAATGATAACGAATTATCTGATTAAATTTGTGAAATAATGGAATATATTTTTGTTATCTAAAATTTTGACATTGATTGTACTGGAAAAATTATCCAATTTTTGTCAGGATGTCAGGAATAAAGGTAAGAAAGAAAAGAGACCTTTAAATTTAGGAAATAAATGGAGATATTTGAAAATAAAAATTGATTTTACATGATATTAGAATGACGCCAATAAGAACGATAACTTAAAAAGACAAGGTTCGTTTAGAAAATTATTACCTTTGAACACAAATGGAGATTCTCAATTAAGTATGTCTGTGAAAATGATTGACAGGCCAATTGCATCACAAACTAGTAAAGAATATACAGTATATTTACAGGAATACAACATTTTATCAGAATAGTAAGTTCATTTCTATTGTTAATTAATATTTCTAATATCTGCAATGAATAAAAATCAGTCCTTCTATTTTTTAAATAGTAGCATGTTACGTTCGCAAGATCTGAAGGGTATTTATGTCATACCATCTGCTCAAAATTCTCTGTGTAAGTAGTTTAAATAAACAAAAATTATTTTTTTTTTCCAATGCATCTTATGTAGAAGAAAATTGAATTATGCATTCAAGTTATTTAAGTTAAACATAAATTGATTCTTAGGTCTTGCTTATCCTGACTTGGTCTTATATAATGGTTTACATGTAAATATGTGCATGATTTATTGTTTGTCACGTTTTCTTGTATGCATTTATTATACATTTTTAAGTATTTTATTAAACTGTAATAAATTTATTTTGTGTCAGTATGGTTTGGGGTTCAATTTGTGCGGCAAGGAATCTATCAAGGAGGAATCTTCAGATTTAATATTACACTGCCACAAAATTTTCCAGATGGAGGATGCCCTGTAAGATTATTTTTTCAAATATATGATATTTCAATTGTCAAATTATATTAATTATATCTTGAACAAATTGTAGAAAGTTACATTTCAAACTCCAATTTTTCATCCTTTAATCGAGCCTGAATCTGGAGAACTAAATACATCATGGGAGTTTCCTGAATGGAGAAAAAGTAACAGAATTTGGCAGTTGATACAATTTATAACAAAAATTCTCACTAAAGTAGATATTAAGATGAATTCTGTAAATCATGAAGCATCAAATTTGTAAGTATTTAAGAAAAAGTATCCAATAAACAAGTACTGTAAATGTATGTTAATATTTATATTTCATGCATACAATATAATATGTTTGTATTACAGATTAGAGAACAATTTTGAAATATTCCGAGATCGTGTAAAAAAATGTGTGAGAGAAAGTTTGAACAAAGTTTATAACGCACCCACAGTGGATGATCCCCATTACATTGCTTTTAGTCCGTATGTTGAGGAGATTCATAATTCTATCAAGAAAGAAATTTTACAACCTAAGGTATAGAAATATATATTTGAATGTTTAAAAATATTTTCATTTGTACTTGTTTTAGTTTATACTTGTTTAGATTTAATAAGCTTAAAATTCATAATATTTTCATTTAATTTCTTACTAATTGTGATTATATATTTGATATAGGAAGAAGAAGAAAGTAAAGCACTTGGATTATCATGGGTACAACCAGGATCATTACAACCATTTTCTAAACCTGATGCAAGATAATAAGTACATAATTATATAATATAGAAAATGTAATAACGAAACGTACGTCCGTAGAAGATAAAGGAATTGTAAATTTTAATGCCAAGAATGAATTGTAATGTATTTTTATATTAGTAAAAAATATTATTTTCTACTTATGTTTGACATATGTATATATATGAGATTATTACAATGATCACTTATAATACTCTTATATTTAATATATATTTGATGATTTATTATTAAATGTAGTGCGAATATTTCTTAAAATAAATTTTATATAAAGCAAATAATTTATAATCAATGTTGGTTATCTATAATAATATCCCAGCATTCTATCAGTGATCATATTATTTCGTTCAATTGCCAATTTTTAAAACAGAATAAAAAAATATTTTATTATTGCTTTTGTATTATAAATTTTGTTTGATATTAAATATTTTTTATAGTATTCATTATCATATATATTAACTATCGAACTTATACACATGCGAGTTGCATTTGTGATGAATGCATGTCAAAAGAAATGCATATTCCGTGATAAATACAAACTACGGAGAAATATATCGTGATTGATGGTGTTGAAGCGTGGAGACGTCTATACTTTTACACATTTTTTTCAATATATTTCAAAGTGTATAATTGTTCATTGTGATTTGAAAGTATGAGTTACGATTTTAACCTTTAATGACAGGCGTATAATTGTAGGTAATCGTTTCTATTTTTCTGTGAGATAAATCAGTACAATTTTTTTTCTATAAGTTAATAGTATTATAGGAAATATAAAATATAAATATAAAAAGTAATAGTATGATTATTGTGGTGAATAATAAAGTAATTTAAAATAATTTAGCCTTTACATTGGATTTCGGTATATTTGAAGGTTAAGAACAGACTGATTTCGATATGATTCATTCGAAAGATTTTATAAAATTCATATATTTCATATAGTGTTAAGTATTAAAAAGTGTAAATCAATTTATCAATTATTAATAAAGCGTTAAAGAATTTTAAAACTGACTTTGCATTTTGTTTGTTGCTGCTGTCATATTGACATATTGTATATAATATTGTATTGTTACCTCCATTGTATTAATTTTAAATATGTATTTAATACAGAAATTTTAGGTAATACAAGAAATATCAGTATGCAGACAATAAAATGTGTTGTGGTAGGAGATGGAGCTGTGGGTAAAACTTGTCTTTTGATTTCGTACACGACCAACAAATTTCCATCTGAATATGTACCAACAGTTTTTGACAACTATGCAGTGACAGTAATGATTGGTGGTGATCCATATACATTAGGACTGTTTGATACTGCTGGTAAATTTATAATAGAAATTTTTTTTTTATACGAGTAATATATAAATACTATTTTATGTTATAGGTCAAGAAGATTATGATAGACTAAGGCCTCTAAGTTATCCACAAACAGATGTATTTCTCGTTTGTTTTTCAGTAGTGTCACCATCATCTTTTGAAAATGTTAAAGAAAAGGTTAAGTTTAATTTAACTTTTTTGTTGTTACAATGCTATTGAAATAAAGTTTGTCATATGATTAATGAAAATGTTATTTTATTTCAGTGGGTACCAGAGATTACACACCATTGTCCAAGAACTCCATTTTTGCTGGTTGGTACTCAAATTGATCTGAGAGATGATGTTGCTACTATAGAAAAACTGGCAAAGAATAAACAAAAACCAATATCGGCAGAACAAGGAGAAAAACTTGCCAAAGAATTAAAAGCAGTAAAATATGTAGAATGTAGTGCTCTTACGCAGGTAAGTGTATTAAATACAAGGAAATATTCCTGATATAATATTCAGATAATAATGATAAAGTTTTATATGTTGCAGAAAGGTTTGAAGAATGTATTTGATGAAGCTATTTTAGCTGCATTGGAACCTCCAGAACCAGTAAAGAAGAGAAAGTGTGTGCTCTTATAAAAAAAAGGAATATGTATTCAGAAGGGGAACAAAGTATAATAACGAGCGGCGTAGTATACAGCTAGAAACTTCAAAATCGTGCATATATGGTGAACCCTTTTTGAGAAGAAATATTAATTTTCTAAAATTAATCAACAGCCGCTAATATCGTAACGCGACAATTTCAATTGAATTTTTTTCATAATTATCATATTATCGATCACATTCCACACAACAAATTGATTCAAAACCTCAATTGATTTCACGAGATTATTCAATTTCATCTAAAATCAAATATAGTTTACAATGCATAATACATGAATATTTTTCTACTTACTCCAGTGTTATTTTGAAAACTATTTGGTCGTTCAAAATTTCTTTCCTACTTTTATTAGAACAATTGGTGCTACCAATTTTTTTGTGTTTTATACATTAAACGAGTTACAATGTAGAATAAAGCATTCTCTTGAATATACAAAAGATCAAAGATTTTGAGAGAAAAAAAAAACAAAGTACTAGATTTCAATATATTAAATTAAATTACACGTTTATAGTAAAATCTAGATTAGAAATTTTGCAATTAATGTATAGACATACAATACATCGTAGTTATATTATTAAGGCACCTTTGATATAATTATTTTCTTTGATGAATGCATTTTTAGTAAATTTTTCGAAAGTCAGAACGGCAGCTATATCACGCAAATTGTTTTTATCGTAGCATATTTGTTTTGGCAAAACTTTTTGCATCTAATTTTGTACATATCAGTGTTCGTCATGAATGCACATACGATGTATTAAAACGACAAAAAAGATGATAATAATAACATGCATTTATATTTTATAAGATTTCAAAGAATATACTTGCTGGTAATGTCAACTATACTATGTCAGATGCGACATTAAAATTTTATAAAAAATGATTGCATATATATATATATATATATAACTTTTAATGAAAATGACGAAGATCATAGCTGGTCGAGTTTGTTTCTTAGCAATCGCATATTTACGCATTATTTATTTCAACAAATATTGATGTATTTGATAAACGAAAAATCAATGCTTACTATTTTATCTGATGAATTTCTTATGATAAGTGAACTGGATACGTGTGAGAAAAATTTTTAAAATACAGTTCTTGGGCGATCAAAAAGTTTTTAAACGGCTCTAAAGCCGTGTGGAATGATGCGTGAGCGTGCATTATAAAGAAATCATCGATCAATTTTTACATTCTGTATCCAGTTAAAAGGTAGCATTTATTAGCATTATATGTGTCACGATATCTAAACACAATCGCATTATAAAAACATTCGTATAAATATATTTATACTATGCATAATAAATTAATTTCTTATTCCGTATTCTCCCATTTCTGATTGCATATTTTTTAATTTAGAAAGTATTAGTATCGTTTATTCGTTTTATTGTCATTGCGTGTACTTTGCATTTTCTAGTATTCGAGACTTGTGATTGTAAATTTAAACGGAAATACTGGACGCCGAAAAGCAGAAGCTCAGCGTTCATTCGTCCATCATGAATCATCGAGACTTCTCATCTTTTCATTTTTTTCTTTCTCTTTTCTCTTTCTCTGTCTCTATCTCGTTCTATACTTTTGCAGATCTGCTACCTTTGCTTGACTCAATTGCATTACTGTATAACGTAGCGTGTTGTGCTCTGTGGTTACTTCAATTAGGTGGATTTGTTCTTACGTATCGGTGTATTGGATGTATTGGATCAACTTCGGGGCACAGAAGGTACGCCAGTCACGGACTCATCACGAACGTGCCTCTGTACTCCCTTGACATTACCGCTAATCATTTCAAATCGATTCTCCGATCCATGAGAAAGAGAATTCTAGCGCGAATTCTACGCGCATTTTCCATTGAGAAAAATTCGTCGGCCGATTAACTGAAATTCACGAATAAGGTTCGATGATCGGCCAATTCCAAAACACGTTTAAGTTTATGCGATACACGTATTGTAAAACACGTTGACCACCTGGTGATAACCGTGCAGGGGGTTTCGAGCCGCATGTTGACACAACTCATTTTTACACGGTGTCCGATAGATATACCAATTCGTCCCTACTCGTCTCTGCCTTCATGCTAGTATATATTTCTTCTCCTCTGCTTCTCATGTCGCTTTGTGCCGATTTATGTTTCGCGTTACCACTAAATTAAATAAAACCGCGAGATTTATTTCGTAATCGAGATTTGTCGAACCAGTATTTCCTCTTACTCGTTTCTTCTTCCAACTCGATTCTACAGCATTTCATTTTGCTCGATATTTTGTTTCGATACGGATGATTATTACGGTTAATTTTAATTCGTTGTACATACAATAAGGAATGATACTATCTTACATATATCGTAGAAAATTGTACTCTTTTGAGTTTAAATAGAAGATCTTTCGAAGTAGCAACAAACAAAGATAGTAAAATATGTGACTGCTTTTGATCTTGTAAAGTCTCCGCAGATCGCTTGAAAGCGAATGAAAAACCGACTCGAGTGATGCGCGCAACGATCATGATACGCGTGTATGCGTGCATACGCAGCCGAAAATCACCCTGACGTATATATACACAAGTACATAGTCGAGTGTTCAGCTTCTGGTATCCATAACCAACCATAAGTTGCACGATAACACGGTGGATAAGTGGCACGTGTCTCTTGCTCTCTTTTCTAGCCGACAGACAATGTTGCTTTTAAGAGAATCAACGTCTAAAATCTAGTTTTAAACCAAACCAGACATTTGGCCGATTCGACTTAGGGGAGGGACAGCTTTTAACCTGTCACTTATCACGAGAAATTATGCAGAGCTCGAAGAATATTTTGATATGTCTGCAACGGCTGTTTCTAGATGCAGTAGCAGCGTGATTACAAGTCCGTCTTATCAAGTTGGATCGCATCTTGTCCTTCGATAACAGAGAAACGAAGGGAAACTTCTTTTGCGAGCATGGAATATAACTGCGGAAGGGTATAAAGAATATTGTGCAAAATCCCTTTTTTTTCCTCGTCGCGATCGAATCGATCCGATAACGTGTATTCGTTCCTACTTTTACGACGGTCGTCCGTTTCGTACCAAACTAATCGGTCGAAATCTTGAAAATTCGCTTTCCGATTCTTGCTCCTCGATTCTCGGAGGATTCTCTCTCTCTCTCTCTCTCTCTCTCTCTCTCCCTTCTGGAAACTAGACACATCAGGTGGAGAAGGTTAACTCTCGTGGGAGCGTTTTCCACGCATTTATACCAGTTTGTTCGAGATTTAGATTTCCGATCGGTTATACCGACGCGATTTATGACGACCGCGATTGTGTATTTAGAATCGCTTGGAAGCGTTATCGAGTGATTGAATCGTGT